TATATATATATATATAAGTGAGGGTTCAGATTCCAGATTTTAGACTCGCTAACTACTACTAACATTAGTTTTTTTGAGGAGTCATTTTACCAACATAATATTTATATTAAAGTCAAGAAATGCCAACCTACCGCACAGCAGCTGCATCCAGGCACAGGTCTTGTAAACGGTGGAGGTGTTGCAGAAGAAGAAGAGCGCCATGCAGGCGATGCAGCTGAGGATCAGCACCATGGACAGGAGCACGAACACCGAGGCGGCCTTGAAGGCTCCCGACGGGATGGAGCCGAAGTCGGAGAAGCTGCCCACGCAGGTGAGGTCCCGGCTGGACGCCTGCACGCTGCCCACGCAGTAGTGAAAAAGGCCGAAGTGACCGATGTGCGGCGTCTTGACGCTGTCGCCAATCCAGTAGGGCTGGATGAACACCACCACGTTAACGATGGCGAAGCAGATGGTGAAGATGGCCCACAGAACCCCGATGGCCCGGGAGTTGCGCATGTAGTTGTCATGGTAAATCTTGGAGGCTTCTTGGGAAGGCAACATGTTTGCTGTTTTCCTCCGTCTTTTAGACCTTTAATCTGTCTTTCTTTACACTTACAATGAAAATAATATGAATATGTAGAAACCCCACCACACAGATTTGACACATAAATATCCAAAAGCTCTCTTTGCGCTAAGATTTTTCCCCCGCTTTGGGTTTCTCTCTCTCTCTCCCTCTTTCACTCTCTCTCTGGAATGGGCCTAAAAAATCATGGGACCTGAAAATATGTATATGACCCCCAGAGGACAATATGTTACAAAAATAAAAAATGAAATGTAAGGAATGCTACATTAAAGCAATAGAAAATCATAGCCTACTTCTACCTCTGATGAATAATTTACCAACACCAGTGATTCAACATTGCTGGTTTTTCCTTGGGGCTACACCATAAATGATTAACAAAAAAAAAGAAAAAAGAACAAAAAAAGAACAGGAAAAAATATAAAGAAAATCCATCAGAATAGGATTTATTTCCTTTCCCAATCGTCAGGTGGATGGTGGGGGTGTGGGTGTGGGGGGGCTAAAGCTGATGTTCCTCCTCATCCATCAGTCCGGAGCTTTTCTTCGGGATGTCCTTTATCACCATCCGGGGGATGAGATGGTGCCTGTGGCGCCAGCGGTAGAGCCAGTTTTTACCTTCCGAGGCATTCGTGGGGGTGCTCCTGTTCCTCTGCCGTTCGCTTCTCTAGCGTCCACGCAAGCGTGTGGAAATCAAATGAATCAGAAGAAGACGAAAAATCAAAAACGAAACGCTCTCTTTGACGCGAGCCCTCTGTCAAATTTCAACAGTCCTTTCCCGTAAATCCGACATCCTCCAACGCCTTGACTCCATTATCATCATGTTTTTTTGTTTCTTTTTGTCGTAGCCTTTAACCAGTATGTCTCCTCTCCCTGGCGCGCGCGCTTTCTCTCTCTTTTCCTGTCTCTGTCTCCGTCGTCCTCCTCCTCGCGTTTCTCCGCGCGCCCCCCGGAAGATGCTGATGTTGTACTGATGACAGCGACGGGGCGCGTTCACGGCGCCAGCAGCAGTAGCAGCAGCGGTGGGGGAGAGAAATTTGCATCAGTGCGCACCTTCGCCTTGATCACCTTGAATTTGAAATCAGGAAGAAAAAAAAGGAGAATTCACTGTTGAATTATTTATTTTCCTTGAGCTGGATCATTCAAGCTAGTTTGACACTTTAACTTGGCTATCTGGGGTGAAATTTGAAATAAATTGCAAATTATTAATAGCCATTTGTTAGAGTTTTGCACAATCTTAAGGAAATATTCTGGGATATTCTTTTTTTATGTACTAATTTCAATATATTAAATTTTTATGTATTTTCTATTTTATTATTTCTTTTTAATTTAAAATATTTTTACAGTGATTCTTGAGAATAGGGACAAAATGGGTTTTAATTTTCCCCAATTTTTATTTT